CCCCCTTCCCTGGTGGGTTTTCCCCCCCTTCACTGTGGTGTGTCCCCTCTTCACTGTGGTGTGTCCCTCCCTTCACTGTTGTGTGTCCCCCCTCCACTGCGGTGTGTCCCTCCCTTCACTGCGGTGTGTCCCTCCCTTCACTGTGGTGTGTCCCCTCTTCACTGTGGTGTGTCCCCTCTTCACTGTGGTGTGTCCCCTCTTCACTGTGGTGTGTCCCCTCTTCACTGTGGTGTGTCCCCTCTTCACTGTGGTGTGTCCCCTCTTCACTGTGGTGTGTCCCCTCTTCACTGTGGTGTGTCCCCTCTTCACTGTGGTGTGTCCCCTCTTCACTGTGGTGTGTCCCCTCTTCACTGTGGTGTGTCCCCTCTTCACTGTGGTGTGTCCCCTCTTCACTGTGGTGTGTCCCCTCTTCACTGCGGTGTGTCCCCTCCTCACTGTGGTGTGTCCCCCTCTTCACTGCGGTGTGTCCCTCCCTTCACTGTGGTGTGCCTCTTCTTCACTGTGGTCTACCCCTCTTCACTGCAGCTTCCCTATTTTTGTTCTGACTAGGCACGGCACAGCCCACCCTCACTGTAATTCCTACCTTCAGTGTGAACAAAAAGCTCCTTTATTTGTTTGTTGAGAAAAGACAGTGTAAGGTGAAGCAGCTGCTCTGCAAAGTGCTTGCTTTGGGTCTCAGAGTCACTTTCTCTAATTGCTGAGCAAAGTAAATCCAGTGCTGGCATCATCTCTTCCACCTCTGGGAACAAATGAAGAAATTAACATGTAAACTATCTCCCCAACTTCAGCACATCCAAATGTTAGCTGCAATGTCTTATTTTTACAAGCTCACACACCTTTATAAAGGCTTACTGCTTGCAAACCCCAATGATTCCAGTCACTCCTAAACATTTACTGGCAGACTTCATGTTTTATAAACTCATTTTTTTCTCTTTTCAACAACCCAATAAGTGCTTACTTCCTTTCCATAGGTAGGAGACTGAAGTTCAGAGAGAGTAAGTCACTTACCCGAGCTAATTCTGAAAGTAAATAAAATAGCAGAGCCAAAATTTGAACTTAAAGCCATTCCAAGAGACATGTGGAGGATAGGAGTGGAAGCCTCTGAAGCCTCTTTGCGATTGAGGGCCCTCTCAGGCGAGATTCCTGTTTAGCTCAGTGTCTGCCCAGCTTTGCAATTGCATGTGTGCAAAAAATTGTGGGAAACACGGGCTCAGGAAAGTTAGCAAAGCTTATTCTCATGCATCTGCTTTCAGATCATTTCTGCCTTTAGCAGTGCAGGTAAGAGAAAAGAGAGTCAAACTATCCAACAGTACAAGAGACAAAGTTGAAAGAGAAGGGGAGAGGGAGGGAGCGAGAGGAGAGGAGAGAGGAAGAGAAAAGAGAGAGAGAGAGAGAGAGAGAGAGAGAGAGAGAGAGAGAGAGAGAGAGAGAGAGAGAGAGAGGGAAGGAGGAAATATTTATATGAATTTGTTTCTGTTTTGCTTTTTGAGACGGGGTTTCACCAGACAGGGTAACCCTGCCTGGCTGACCTCAAACTCACTATGTAGATCAGTTGTTCTTTAACCCACAGAAATCTGCCTGCTTCTGCCTCCCAAGTACTGGAATTAAAGCCCTGTGCCTGTTTTTGTTTGTTTGTTTGTTTGTTTTGTTTTTTGTTTTTCAAGACATGGTTTCTCTGTGGCTTTGGAGGCTGTCCTAGCTCTTGTAGACCAGGCTGGTCTCAAACTCACAGAGATCCACCTGCCTCTGCCTCCCGAGTACTGGGACTAAAGGTGTGCGCCACCAGCGCCTAGCTGAGATGGGGTCTTATACAATCCTAACTTCCTTCAAATTTACTAGGTGGCACAAACTAGATTTGAACTTGTAATCCTTCCTCCCTACCTTCAGAAAGGCTGAAATTACAGGCATGCAACACCGTGCCTGGCTGACAGAATACTCATTTTATTTTATGTATATGAGTGCTTTGCCTACATGTATGTATATGCACCATGGTGTGTACCTGGTGCCCAAGGAGGCTAGATGCCCTGGAACTGGAGTTGTGAGCTGTCATGTGGTTGCTGGAAATTGAGCAAAGGAGTCAAGACCATGCTGGGGAAACCCACAGAAACAGCTGACCTGAGCAAGTGGGAGCTCATGGACCTCAGTCTGACAGCTGGGGAATGGGCATAAGACCGAACCAGGCCCCCTAAATGTGGGTATCACTTGGGGGCGTGAACAGTCTATGGGCCTCTGGCAGTGGAACCAGTATTTATCCCTAGAGCACAAATGGACTTTGGGAGCCCATTCCTCCATGGAGGGATACTCTCTCAGCCTAGACACACGGGGGAGGACCTAGGCCCTGCCACAAATGATGTGACAGACTTTCATGATCCCCCATGGGAGGCCTCACCCTCCCTGAGGGGTGGGGGAGGTGGGGGATGGGGGGATGGTGGGGAAACAGGAGGACAGGAGGGAGAGGGAACTGGGATTGATATGTAAAATAAGATTGTTTTTAACTGAAATAAAAATTAATTAAAAAAAGAAAAGCTAAAATCTTGAAGAATTGCTAAAGCAGTGAAAATTTTCATAACAAATCCCAGTCTACAGCTGTGCAGTTGAAGTCCAGCTGTCAGCACACCTCTGTTCAAAGGTGGCTGGTTCCCGAAGAGTGGTCCCCTTCACACGTCACTCTCCTGAATCTAAGAGATCATCTTGTCCTTGTGTATAAAAATACAGAGCATAGCGCAGGCTGTGTTCCGTAAACACTGCAGTACCCGGGGTGGCACTCTTCTAGTACTGAGGACTGAACAAGCGTCCCACATGTGGCAGACAGTGCTGCAGCACTGAGCACCTCCGGCCCCTACACGGAGAACATTTACAGACCCTGACACATCCCCTCCGAGTACATAAACTCTGTGAATGAGTTTTGACAAGCCATTAGAAAGCACAGTGATAGATAGGGTGGAGTGATAGGGTGGAGTCAAGAGCGCCTGGCTGCTCTTTTGCAGGCCTGGGGTTCCATTCCCAGGACCCACATCAGGTAGCTTACAACCATGTGTAATTCTAGTTCTAGGGGCTCCCTCTTCAGGCCTCCTCATTTCCCTGTACAAATGTGGGCACATACACATAAGCAGACACACACATACACATATGTTATATAAAAGGGCAATAATTTAAAGATGTCTAAAGTGATAGTATGCATGTAGAACTATTTTACTTACGTCTTAAATATAACTGGGATGAAAAGTGATGATGCAGCTGATCAGGAACAGGAGATTTTGAAGATGGAGTAAGAAGATTTTCCTTGCTCTTCAAGAAGAAATCTACTGTGTCCAGCTGCCGATTTTCTATGCCAGCCTAAACGTGGGGAGGAAAGAAACCAGAGGAGTTTGTTTACCCTGTGTGTGCTGAGAGTTGGGGGGCGGCCATTTTTTTTTTTTTTAACTTCAGAGTTTAATGAGTGGAGACTACAGAATAAATGAAGTCATCTTTACTTTGCATAAGTACCTGGGTTCTAGTGAATTCTGATCATTTTTGTCTCACTTGTTCTCTGAGCCATTTGTTTTCCTTAGCTCATATAAAGTTCTAGGAACAATTTTAGACTTGTCATTTTTATTTATTTATCTAGCTCTGGCTGGACTCTCTGGGAAAGGGTTGACCCTAGCACATTGGGACCCATAGAGTGAAGCTTTCTGGGCTATCATTCCAGTGACAGTTTCTGTCCCAGCAGAAACAGGTTACTGGAAACTCTTCCAGCTCTCTATAACTTAAAACTCTACACCCAAAGCTAAGCAGTTGGGGGCCACTCTTACAAGAAGCTGCAATCTATTTGTTTTGAAATCTTACAGCAGGATACTAATAAGCTAGCTGATCCTGAGTTCAAAAATTAAACAAAAACCTGGGCTACGTATCAGTGGTAGACTATACTCTTGCCTAGCATGCCACAAGGTCCAGGGCTGGCTCTTTAGTATCTCAAAAAGAAAAATAAAGAATGAAAAAGGACTTTCAATTCTTACTTAGATTACTCGGGGTGTTGTGAGAGGCCAAAAGGCCTCAGGAGAAAGGAAGCAAATGCGTGACATCTCCAAGCCTGATGCAACCTCAGAGCTGTAAAGACGTAAGATCAACTATAATCAAATGGGACCAATATGGCTGCAGGAAGTGACCATGGACTACCCCTCACTTCACTATAATGGCATTTCCATATCATTGGCTTTGCAAAATTGTATAATAATTAAACAGCAGCACATAGACTTAGACTATGAGCTCCTTAATTGTAGTCATTAGCACAGCCCGTAAAGCAAGACAGGCTCCCAAAGAAGACTGCCACATTTGATTATTATACTGTGTATGGATGAAAGCAATATTAGAAAGCTGGAGAGAAAAAGTAATCAAGTTAAATACTGCAAAGCTTGGGGTTGGAGAAATGGCTCTATGGTTAAGATCACTTACACTCTCTCAAAGGACCTGGGTTCGATTCCCAACACCTATATGTTGCCTTAAACCATCTCTAATTCCAGCTCCACAGCATCCAAAGCCCTCTTCTGGCCTCCATGAGCATCAGCCACACACATGTAGGTAATACCCTCATACATATAAAATAAAATAAATCCAAAGAGTTAAAGAAGGGGCTGGAAAGATGGCTCAGTGGTTAAGAGTACTGACTGGTCTTCCAGAGGACCCGGGTTCAAATCCTAGCACCCACATGGCAGTTTAAAACTGTCTGTAACTCTGGTTCTAGGGGATCTGTGACACATTCATACCAATGCACATAAAATAAAAATGATAAGTTTTGTTTTGTTTTGGTTTTGGTTTTTCGAGACCGGGTTTCTCTATGGCTTTGGAGATAACTTATTTTTAAAAAGTTACAGAAAACTGACAGCTAAAATGAAGATATTTGGGGACTATGAACACAGGAATAACTCATTATTAATGATCCCTATGTGACTCCAACTCTGAGACACTGTCCCAGCAATGCCTTGGGTACTGCAGGGCCTTTCTGGAGAGGGAGGAAGGTCTTGGACTAGATGGTCCTGTCTGTAAGCTGGCAACTCACTCATTTGTCTTCTGCCCAAAGGTGGTGGCAATCCTTAGGCCCAAATCCTACTCAACTCTTCAGCTGACTTACTTTTTATTGTAAACATAGAGGAAGAAATTAGTTGTATTTTCAGAAGAATGTTTGAGTCAGATAGTTTGAAGTACACATAAGCATACTTGGACTAGTTGGACCTCCCACTTTGCACTGATTATGAAATAGTATAATGAGCAAATATGGGACAAAACAGAGCACGATAAAGCAGGAATGATTTACACACCCAGAGCAGCTGCTGAGCCCATCAAGACTGGGATAGTTTGGCTTACTTAGAGCGGGTGCATGGCCAGCACCCAGTGGTGCCCTATGCTTGTTTTACAGCTCTCTACCCCAGGCTCTCAGTCACAACCGCCCCATCCATGGCAGCCTCTGCTTAACACTGGAAGACTTGTAACTCGGCACACTCAGTACACACACTTGCATACGCAAAGAGAGGAGACGGTGGATATGGCACACGTGTGACACCAGCACTGGGGAGGGTCAAGGCAGGAGGATTGTGAGTTACAGGCCAGCTAGGGAGATGCAGGGAGACCTCCCTCAACAAATAAACATAACCATAAAAGGCAGGAGCCACACTTCTGCGGGACTCATCTTTGCCACTTGGACCTGGTTGCCTTCTCATTTTCTCACCTTATTTGCTCTCATTTGAGAGACTCTACCTCTAAAAATTTAATGACCTCCAGAGATGACACTTGCATGTAGTCTATGTGTGGTCAGTAGAGGGATATATCTTTTTACATGTACATGCAACACAATGTCATGAATTAGGTGAGTATGAAAAAAGACTTGAAAAGGTTGGAAGGAGCTAGACACGGCTCCGTGGCTGAGAATGCATAATGGTCTGCAGAGGACCGACCGGGTTCCATGCCGGCACCCACATGGCTCTCACCACTGTCTGTAGCAACAGCTCCAGGGGATATGATGCCTTTGTTTGGTGTCCAAGGGCACCTGCACTCATGTACACGTATCCCTACACACGTACACACACCGCTTGTACTCAGCTCTGAGGAAGTAGAAGTAGGAAGATCAGGAGATCAAGGCCAGTCTTAGATATATAGCAAGTCTGAGACTTGCCTGGGATGCTCTTACCTTAAAACAAACAAACCACCACACAAAAACATTACGAGAGGCTACATCGTAATGCAGAAATGCCCTGACTCTTATTCTATTTTTTTATTAGTAAACTGTGGTTACTCAAATAGCCGAATGGCCACTCTGTGTCTATTTCTTAATGTATAATGAGAGAGAGAGGGAATAAAAATTACTTAGTCATGGGTAGTTCATGTGATTGTTTTAGGACCAAATTAGGTAATGCATATAAAAGAATGTGTGAGCTATAAAATGCTATATAAATTCAGATTATATATTCTAAAGCTGGATAGGAAGGCATATAAAAATAAAAGATCGTTTCTACTCTGCTCTCCACAGCTTGCTTCTTAACATATTAGCTTGTTGTGGTTTACATGTCTATCACATTACCTCCTTAAAATGCTATTCGTTATTATCTCATATCCTTAGCGCCAATAAAACTCATCAGAGTTAAGGAAAAATGGTCAGACTTGGAGATGAAGGGTGAAAACAGAGACTATATGAATTCTTTCAGTCACTCATTCACACAAGGGCACATGACAGCAAGTGAAGTGGGATGGGTTTCATTTTGTTACCTCTAGAGCGTGTATAGGAATTGAGCACCGTCCCCAACCATTGAGATGACAAAGGGAGTCCACAGTGCTGGCACTGCCATGGATCATTAGTCTATTCAAAAACTCCTCTTGAGTTAGACCAAACAAAATCAGAGACAGACCGTTTTCTATAGGAAAAATAAAAGTTAGCATTAATAAATTAGTAGGAACTTAGATCTTAGAACTATTAGGTAATTAATATCTAATTACCTAATACTTCCATACTATAGCTAAAATACATATGTTGATCTGGGTATAGTGGAGCACATCTTTTACTCCAGTACTTGGTGGGTAGAGGCAGGTGAATCTGAAAAAATCTAGGCCTGTTTGGTTTACAAAGTGAGTTCAAGGCCAGTCAGGACTATGGAGTGAGACTAAATCTCAAAGAAAAAAATTTAAATGTGTGTGTGTGTGTGTGTGTGTGTGTGTGTGTGTGTGTGTTACCCTGTGTATTAACTACTATTTTACTGCTGTGATAAAACACCATGACCAAACTTGCAGAGAAAAGGGTTTATTTCACATTAAAATTTACCATCTTTCATTTCACAAAGGGCAGCTGAGGCAGGAATCTAGAGGAACTGAAGCAGCAGCCAAGGAGGAGTGCTGCTTACTGACTTGCTCCCCAGGGCTTGTTCAGCCTGCTTTCTTTTAATTTTTATTTTATGTATATGATGTTTCGCTGTATGCACATATGTGCCTGTTGGAATTCCCTGGAACTGGAATTATAGATATTGTGAGGTACCATATGGGTGCTGAGAATCGAACCCGGATCTTCTGTAAGAGCAACAAGTGCTCTTAACTGTTGAGTCATCAGTCCAGCCCCTCTGTCTGCTTTTTATAGAACCCAGTCCCACCTGCCCTGGGGTGGCACCATCCACAGTGGGCTGGGCCCTACAAAGTCAATCATGATTAAGAAAACACATCCAACCAGACTGCCTATAGACAAGTCTGTAGGACATTTTCTCAGTTGAGGTTCCTCTTCCCAGATAACTCTAGCTTGTGTCAGATTTACAAGAATAACCAACCAGGACAGTCCCAATATTGTTGTGGTGTTAATTAACTGATGCTTTATTGTGTGAGTATGTGTATGTGTGTGGACACAAGTGTGTCAAGGTGCATATATTTGAAGATCAAAGGACAATTTATCTACTATGTGGGTTCCCAGGATGGAACTCAAATGTTCAGGTTTGGTGGCAAATGTTTTTACCCAATAGGCTATCTTGCCTGCCCAAGAGTTTTATATTTAAAACACTGATCACAAGGCAAAATTTTTATAAGAACAATAGGCTAGAGAAGCAGCTTAGGAATAGAACATTTGCTTAGCATGCATGAGCCCCTGGGTTAGATCCCCAGCACTACAAAAACAAATAGTAAAAAAAAAAAAAAAAAATACCAGAAGTGCATACTATGAAATGACACTAAAATTGACATTTATACTTCACATTATCTTGTACCTGAAAACTTTATTTATAGAGGTGTCAGTTTCCTGGTTTACCAAAATAAAACAAGTAACAGCATACCTCTGGATACACAAAATGTATTAAGGGCTGAGAATGTTCCTCAGTGGTAGAGCACTTGTCTAACATGTACAATACCCTGAATTCAAGCCATAGTACCAAAGGGAGAGAGGAAGAGAGGAAGGGAGGGGGGCAGGTCACCATTCCCTGACATGGTGGCACACACCTGAAAGGCCTGCCCTTTGGAAGGCTGAGGCAGAAATATCATGGACAGTTCGTGGCTGGCCAGAGAGAACCTGCCCAAAACAGAACAAACAAAAACCAAGCTAGGTGTGGTAGCACATTCCTATAATCTTGGCCTAGAGAGACAGAGGCAGGAGAATGGCCACAAGTTTGAGACAAGTCTGGTCTACATAGCAAGTTCCTGGATGGCCAGGACTAAGTAGTGAGATTCTTTCTGCCTTTAAAAAAGCAAAATAAAATCCAGGCGGTGGTGGTGCACACCTTTAGTCCCAGAACTTGGGAGGCAGAGGCAGGTGGATCTCTGTGAGTTCAAGGTCTACAAAGTGTGTTCTAAGACAGCCAGGGCTGTTATACAGAGAAACTCTGTCTCAGAAAACAAAATAAAACAAAAACAAAAAACTAGGAGGTGAAAAAGAAACAGCAGCTGAATCCCACACAACATTAAACACCTTTGTAGCAGGTTCTAGCACCCACACTGAATGAGGGCATCTTAGATGTGAACTGCTCTGCAACTGCAGCACAGAGGTCAGAGGTCAGGGGACGTGCAAGAAAAGACCAACCAGCAATACAGCAGCCACCAGAGAACCCCAACTTCACCCCAACACTTAAGTTTCTATACCGAAAGGCAGATCCAAATTTTGTATAAATCTGTCATTTTGTACTTTGTATTTATGTTGTCTGTTTTAAAAGCCTACGCTAGTGGTGTAGGCCTCTAGTTCTAAGAACCAGAAGATACAGACGGTAGGATCAGAGTTTTTGTTTTTTGTTTGTTTTGTTTTTTCAAGACAGAGTTTCTCTGTGTAGCCCTGGCTGTCCTGGAACTACCCGTAGACCAGGCTGGCCTTCACCTCACAGATCTGCCTGTGTCTGCCTCCCAAGCCTAGCCTAGGATCAGTGTTTAATGCCAGCATCAGTTACACACACAGCAAATTGGAGGTCAGCTGGGGCTATGTGAGACCCTGCTTTGAAGCCAAATAAAGTAAATCCCCAGTCAGTGCCAACCAAAATGAACATGCAGCACACACATGGCCCATATCAGCTATCTTGTAACTTCTGCTGTGTAGACTCAAGTCACAGGAGGTTTCTCCAAGTTAAAAATTTTATATTACCCTCTCTATCTAGTATTAACATTTAGCCGAAGAGAAATAATTTAAATTAAACACAGGGCTGGAGGGATGGCTCAGTGGTTAAGAGCACTGGGTGCTCTTTCTGAGGAGCCAGGTTCAATTCCCAGCACCCAGATGGCAGCTCACAACCATCTGTAACTTCAGATCCAGGTGATTTGATGGCCTCTTCTGGCCTCTGCTGGCTCCAAGCATGCATGCTGACAAAACACCACAAACATAAATTACAGCACATGAGGCAATGTTAACAGAGAATAACACCAAGCTTCCTCCTAGAATAAGTGCCACTTTGCAGTAAGACTGGGCAGGTGCTGGCACCAAGGCATCAGAAGGGAAATGCACCAAGAGGTCACATGTTGGGCTGGCAAGATAGCTCAGTGTGTAAAAGACCTCCAAGTCTGATCCACATGGATGAAAGAGACAACCAACTTCCACAAGTTGTCCTTGACCTCCACATGAGTGCTTTGGCATTCATTCACACACACACACACACACACACACACACACACACACACACACACACACACTCGGTGTATTCCAATCAGATATGAGACATGCTCACCTGTCAAAACAAGGCACAGCTGCTGGTTCCCACTGCTATCCACAGGAGTACACTTCTGGCTGAGAGAAAAACACTGCGTGCTCTGGGTCTCCAGGTCCCAGAGGACAATGGTGCAGCTGGTTGTTCCTACTGCCCAGGTAAACAGTGCAGTAAATGCAGTCACAGACATACACTTGAGCTCTGCGGGCTGCTCTTGTTCGCTCAGGTGCATTGTCTTCCACAGTCCTGGATCACTAGTCCTGATGTGCCCCTTCTGTGGAAAAGCGCACTGGCGACACGTGGCATCCCCCGGGATGAAAATGTGGTTTGGCACAACGGGAGTGTGGTTACCAGATTCTGGGGACTCCAAACGTAAAACACCCTGGAACCACGGAGCACAACAGGAAACCTCTGGTTTTGAGCTCCTTGTTTCACTCAGTGATGACAGCTGGGCCCTCCAAGACCTGGAAGACAGGGCAGTGCTTAACACCATTACAGGAAGGGCACCAAGTCAAACACCAGCCAGGGTAACGACACTGGGAATGGCAGCTTCCACCTGTGGTCCCAGCACTTAGGAGGCAGAGGCAGGAGGATCATTCTGAGTTCAAGGTCAGCCTACTCTACATAGCAAGCTGGAAGCCAGCTAGGAGTATATTGCCTCCAAACAAATAAATAAATAGTATCTGCCATGTAGAGACTTTTCATGAAATATAATGCCAGAAAGACAAAAAAAATGAAAATACACTAAATCCTAAAAGCGTTTATACCTATCAACTTGAAAGGAAACTTTGGTCAGTTTCATGTTGTGGACAGAGTTAGCAAGGTCGTCCTCATCTATTCCAGTGAGCCCTTCAATTGGAAGGTCTTCCAGTGTTCTTTCACACAGTAGGTGTCCTGGGTGTTGCCTACATTGGAAAAGAATGATAGCTGTATCAAAAAAAAAAATGATAAACAACCCCAAATTTGTATCACAAGTGCTTCTGGGTTTGTGTGTATGTGCTTTTTATTTTCTGGTTTTTTGTTTGTTTGTTTTTTGTTTTTTGCTTTTTTTTGTCCTGTTGGTTTTATCCTTTTGTTTGTTTGTCTTGATTTTTTTTTTTTTGAGAAAAGTGAGGGAGGGATAGACAGAGAGAAACACACCCACACACACACAGAGAGAGAGAGAGAGAGAGAGAGAGAGGGAGAGAGAGAGAGAAAGAGAGAGAGAGAGCATACAATGGGGTAGGCAGGGAGGTGGAGAGGATCTGGGAAGAGCTGGGAAAGGGAAGGAATAAGATCAAAAAAATTGTATAAAATTTCTTAATAAAAATGGACATGGGATACAGTGAAGAATGGCATAAATGTTATATTCCCAAGATTGTAGTCTCTCTAACCTCCCATGTAGAACAGTGATAAAGTCAGTATCAAGAATTTGACTCTGTGGGCTGGAGAGATGGCTCATCGGTAAAGAGCATTGGCTGCTGTTCTGAGAATTTGGGTTCAATTCCCAGCATCCACATGGTGGCTTCTAACCATGTGTAACTCCAATCTCTACAAGCACTGTACACACAGGGTACACAGACATATGTGCAGGCAAAACACCCTTCTATACAAAATAATAAAATAAATTTCACAACACCAATAATTGCTCTGTGCAGTAGTTCATTTCACAAAGTAGGAAGAACATTCACAGTCCAGCACATTGCAGCTGTCATGCTGATTTACATAGACTCTTAAGTCTTTCAGCAACCTTCTAGAAGTATAACCCACTTCACAGATACAAACACTTAGGCTTGAGAGAAACATAGAACCAGTCTAATTTAACCATAAAGCTTGGGGTTTATTTTTTTTAACACTTATTTACTTATTTTGGGGGTGGGATAGAGAGGATTCAGGCATTCCACAGAATGCACGTGGAAGTCACATTTCGCCAGCCCAAAGCTAAGGTTTCGTCATACCATAACAAAGCAAGATTTAGGCCAGAGTCAGTAAATGAACAACAACTGCAAAACAATTTGTGTGTGAGAGTTGAGATGGGACAGTTGTGTGGAAAGAGGGCTAGCGCATCTAAGAAACTGTGGTCGCCAGAGCACAGCTAACAAGAAGCACGATGGAGTGGCATGAAGCCAGAGAGCTGGCAGGAGACAGATGGTTCAGAGCCTTGTGGGCTATTAAGGGAAGTTTAACTTTCATTTTTAGGGGAAAAGGCAGCTAAAGAAGGGTTTAGGCAGGACTACAACATGATCATGTGCAGAATATAGCCAGGGAGAGGGGAAAGCGTTTAATGTCATTACACACTTCGGGAGTGTTGAACTTGGAAGGTATTATGTTGACATATGTCACAGGGGTGTTGAAACGTGAGTGTGGCTGAACCACTGATGAGACAGACATTTTAACGATGCCATGTTAACTACTTTGGAGAAAATGGGTTTAGGGGATGAGGACAGACACAAGGAGACTGACCAGGTGTTTGTTAAAGCAATTCAGGTAAGAAGACAGTGATATGGCTTGGGGTAGAAACAGACTGGAGAGAAGACAGCCTGGAGAGACACCCAGGAGGAGAATGGCTGCTCCTTGTTTGTTAACTGGACGTGGACCTGATACTGAAAAGAGACTGTAAATATAGAAAAGAAAGGGAAATAGAGAAAGGTCTGAGGGGGTGGGGAGAGGAAGGGATGAAACTTCACTAAACACAGGGAGCAAAAAGCTAAAGGAGGTCTCACTAGACATCAGATGGCTTGTATTCCCTTTAAAATGTAGGAGGCAAGGTCACTTAAGAAAAGGGAGGAGTAAAGAGCTAGCAGGTCTGAGGAAAAATAGAGGGTTAAAAACATTTTTGTAAGTCCAGGTATGGTGGTACACACACCTATAATCCTAGCCCTGGGAGGCAGAGGCAGGCAGACCTTGAGTTTGAGGCCAGTCTGGACTAGAGAGCAAAACTTTCAAAAACAAAACAAAACAAAACAAAACAAACAAAAAACTACAAAAAGGGGTTGGTGAACACTGTTTTTGCAGTTTTCTCACAAATGCAAAATTGCTTGGGTGTAGGTACTGCAAAAATAGAATAAAGATTTCATTCATGATTGATATTTTGGCAGGCCAAGTGCTACCATGGAGCAAGAGCAAAAGTTTAGAGTTCGTGCAAGAAACTGACTAAAACAATGGATCACAAAATCCATGCTTGAAAAGGGAGGGAAGTGAAGACAGGGGGAGGGGAAGCACAGAAGGTCAGTTAGCTGGAAATCCCAGTGAGGTCAGAGAGCAGGTACTTGGGTAAGCCAGGTAAAAATTTGGGGAATTGTGTTGAGTGGTGTAGAACAGTGATATGGAGGAGTGATTCCAAAGGCTGACAAAGCCCAGAGTTTGGCCATGAGAATGGACAGCTAAGATAAAATGGGAGGAAAAGTCACTCGCGGTGAATCAAAAGAAGAAAAAAAAAAAAAAAAACTAAGCTACTCAGGAGGCTGAACTGGGATGATAACTTCAGCCCAGGAGCTCAGGGACCACCCTGAACAACAAACCAGCAAGGTCCCATCTCAAACAGGAGAAAAAGATTGAAAAAACACACTATTAGATGGATTCTCAAAGAGCATTTGCAAGCTTTATTGGAAAAAATAAAAAAAGAACTATATAAAATTACACAGTTAAGCGCTAACCCAGCTCAGGAGTGGGAAGTGCCACACACACTGAAGAGGAGAAAGTCATGAGTAAGTCTAAGACTCTGGTCGAGAGAGCGCCTGTGAGTACAGGAGTTCAAGAAAGAGCTGTACATGTCAGTGGAGTCCCAAAGGACAGACTGGACAGGAGAAACGGTTACTATTCTGTATTAGGGAAAGAAACATTAGCACAAGGCAGGAACGACAAACACATCTGGACTTCAGAGTACTCTCGGAAAAATAAGTACAGTCAACTCCAGAGAAATGGCATTAAACAGCATTTGTGAAATGATAAACACAGATCACTTGCTTAGTTGGACAGACTGGTCCCTAAGTTAGTTGTGGGGTGTAGGACAGAGCTCTGAAACATACACGGCATGTGATGAGGTGACTAGGCTTCCTTTCCCCACCATTCATGCTGTTTCCAATGAGTGATCAGGAGACATTCTACATACACAGCATATGACTGATGAGTGAAATCAGCCTATGAAATCAGACGAGAGCAGTTTGAGGAAACAAAGTGCCCCACTCAAAGATTTAAAAACAAGGCCAGACATGAGAGCCACTCTTGTGATCCCAGCACTTAGGAGGCTGAAGCAAGAAGACAGGAGTTTGAGAGCAGCCTGGCCTGCATAGTGAGACCTTATATTAAACAAACAAACAAAAATAAATAAATAAATCAGATCACAACATCTCCCCTAATTGAAATTCCATTGATATCTACTCATTTTTTAGAATAAGGTAAATCATAAATAAGTAAATAGCCATTTAGAACAAACTGGGGCTTGGAGTTTATCTCAGTGGTAGAGTGCTACGACTGGGGTTCTGGGTTTGAACCCTAGAAAACATTACAGCTGTAAAGATACCTGGCAGGTATATAAAAATAAATGTACTCTTTTTTATGAACCAACAATAGGCAATAAAACTCAGCAAAAACATTCCCAACTACTCACGTATTTATCTTATTCATATCAAGTAATAATCAAAGGACTAAGTGGTTTTGAATGGCCCTACATATTGTTAGCTCATAAATGTTGAAAGGCTTTTTCAGATCATCAAGTTATATAAGAAGATTATAAGAATATAAAATCAACAGCAGCTAGCAAGCTCATGGAAAAGCAACATAAGTAAGTATTCAGCATTGCTGAGGTTCTTAGAAGGCCACAGAGGGAAACACCCATGGAAATCCCCAGGCAGAAAAGCTAGCTGAATATATCTTGTCATACTCCTTTAAGAGGAACATGAGCCCCAGTGCAGCCAGGATCCCAAGCCACAAAAACAGCAAATCCAACATCAGGTAATTTCCATTCCCTTCTACTCTTAAATGGGACAAGGAAGAGGTGCTATGTGAAAGTGGGGGTTTTTAAACTGTACAACCCTGATTATTTATTTATATGACATAACCCCATACAATACCACTTAAATTGAAACCAAACCTTTGCTATACAAGCCAAAATACAAAGGCAACCAGCAGTCATTTATATATATTCTTTACAGTAACAATCTTTATATAGGAGCCATAATGAGATATAACTGCATAGAAAACTGCTTTTAAAAAAAGAGCCAATGAGTCTATTTTAAGCCTTTTGTGGGTCTATTTACAGCAAATGAGAAATTTGAGTCATCTGCGTACCTGAAATACAAATTTAGGTTAACAGCAACAGCAGTGTTGGATGAACTGACAATCACCAAAACATCTAAGTCTTCAGACACTTTCAATGAGGTAAAGGAAGAAACGTTGGCTGCTTCCTGCTGCTCAGAGTCTTCTTGGAGAAGAGCCAAGTCCACATGAGCTACATGCATGCCATCAACAGTGTCAAAAATATCTTTGAGCTAGAGTTAAAGAAACACCTATTTTATATATAGGACCCTTGAAGTCCCAGAATGGGAAGAGCTATTGTGCAGATTGCTACAACCTTGCAGGTCTAGCAGAAGGGCTGGAAACTGACGCTTCCTCCAATGTGGTAACCAGATGACTATGGAGCCTGTGGAATAACATGCTGATGTGTCCAATCTGCTGTTCCAGATGCCGAGGCACCATTTCCCAGGGTACACCCTATTTAACAATACCCAAATATTATCATCTCAACATGTAACCAACATTAAAAGCTGAGATACTTTATTTTCTTGTAAGCCACCAAAATATGTTACACTTAGAAAACAACTAACTTTGGATACTAAATTTTCTCTCTCTCCCTTCCTCCCCCTTCCCTTTCCTCTCTCTCTTTCCCTTCCCTTCCTCCCCGCTTCCTTCCTTGGCTTTTTGAGAAAAGTGTTTCTCTATGTAGACCCAGCTGTCTAGGAACTTGCTCTATAGACCAGGCTGGCCTTGAACCCACAGATCCACCTACCTCTGCTTCCTGAGAGCTGGGATTAAAGGCACGAGCCACCACTTTTGTGCTTGGACACTAAATTTTCATCAGAAATATCTCACCAATATTTAGACCCCAAGAGTTATAATTGCAACACCAAGAGAAACTGGGCAGGGGATGAAACTAAGTAAATAGAGTGCTTTTCTAGCTCAAGGAAGCCCTGGGTTCAATTCTCCAATACTATGAAATCTGAGCATAATGGCTCAAGCCTGCTATCCTAAGACTTAGGAGGTAGATGCAGAGGACCAGGAGCCAAAGGAGCATCCTTGGCTAAATATAGAGTACAAGCTCACCCTGTTAATTTTTTTAAGTCTGAAAAAATTACATTTATTCTAAATATACTTAAACTCCCTGATAGCCAAACCAAGTAAGTGTCCATATGCTTAGACAATTTCAGATGGTCAGCCTCACACTCCTGGCACCTACTGCAGTAGACAACAAATTTGGAAATAAAAATTAAGTCAGTTTAGTATTTTATGACATTTCTTTGTGAAAAACAATATGTCTAAAATAGAAAAAGCATCCCTTAAAAGCATCCCTTATGGAGGCTGGGTCAGAGGCTAGCTACAAAGTAGGCTGCAGGTTGAGTTCTAGACCAACCTCAGTTACAGAGATCCTGTTTCAAAAGCCCAAAATACAAGGATGTGGTAGAACAGGCTTTTAATCTCAATGGTCAAGAGTCAGAGGCAGGGGGATCTCTGCAAATTGAGAGGCAGTTGGCCTACACAGTGAGGCCCAGGCTAGTGAGTGCTGTATAGTAAGACTTGGCCTCAAAAAATAAGTAAACAAAGGGCCAGGGATTGTAGCTCAGTGCTAGAACATAGCACTCGTGATGCCTCAGGGTGAACCCCCAAAACCATAAAGAAAGGGGGATCATCCATCCCTTTACTCCAGAAATAAAAATCTCAAAAATCATATAAAAGTTCATTTTTAAACCTTCAATAATTTTACTGCTAGATACAAAGTATAGTATTTTCAAAAGCTGTTAACACTTATACAAATCATTCATTAAAATGATGTAATTATCTGGGTGTGGTAACGCATACTGATTGCCCCAGTATTTGGGCATTTGAGGCCTCGATTGCCCCAGTATTTGGGCATTTGAGGCCTCAAAAAAAAAAAAAAAAAAGATGGAATCATCATTGGATAAAGTAAGTTATATTCATGTGGAAAACGCATGCATTATATCATAAGCAATCATGCACGTTAACTGACACTTAAGAAATACAGTTTGGGTAAATAAATAAAGAATACAAATATGGGGAAGATTATTATGACAAAAAGAATATTTCCGTACATTGAAAAATATAAAGTAATGTAGTTGAGTATTTTATGAGCGTATTTATAAAAACTAATTGCGCTCCCTTCACTCCAGCTCCCCCAAGTGAAAGTGTAGAAAGTCTCATCTTTCTACATATTCTTTTCCCCTACACATTAATCAACATGTCTATGACCAAGGATACAGATCCAGCCTAATGTACTCAGAACAAAAAGAAGTCCCCTGCAGAGCTGTGTGTCAATAATGGTGTCTGCTGTCTGTGCCGGCAAGAGCAGAGGGAAGCAGTCCAGTACACTCCCAGATTCTCTCCCGGCAAATACAATGCGGAGAATGAGACATCTGTTGATGAGCAGTAATGCTGTCTTGTTGTGAAATGACAGAATTCTCAAAGATTTGAAGGAAATACCTGTGAAACAAAAGGATAATATCTCAAACTCATCAATCATACTTTTACAGTTGGTAGATGTGATCTTATAAACATAGAAAAAAACAGATAAAACAAAAAAGGAAACTCCACTTATTCCAACTCAGAGGTTACTGTTCATGTCTGTTCATAGGCATTAGGAGGTAGGTGAAGATAAATAAAGATGGCTCACAGTGCCCCAGGGTTCTTTTTGTTTAAGCCTGAGGTCTTAAAGCACACCAGAAGGTGGATTCAGAAAGGCAGAGTTATCCCTGAGATCACACCAAGTCAATCAGACACTTTTTTCCTTAAGGAAAAAGAAGGAACCTTATAGTCAAGGGTAGAAAGGATGTCACTGTCTTAAAATTAGAGGTCCAGGCCAGGCGGTGGTAGCTCACGCCTTTAATCCCAGCTCTCGGGAGGCAGAGGCAGGCAGATCTTTGTGAGTTCAAGGCCAGCCTGGTCTACAAAGTGAGTTCCAAAACAGGCTACAAAGCTACACAGAGAAATGGTTTCAAAAAACAAAACAAAACAAAAATTAAGAGGCCCAGAAGCTGGGATTTCTGTTCCCTGCCTGCAGCTTATCAGGCCAAGACAGTCAACAGCTCTATAACCAGTTTAGGTCAGCACTGTCTAGTAAAATATAAGAGTCATCATTAATCCATGAGAGAGATATGATTCAGTGCGACTAACAGCCAAAGAAATGGGAGAAATAATTTAATATATATTATTTAACTTATATTATGATATATTAATATAATATATATCATATGTTAATACAATATAAAGTATTGATTAATATACTAATTTAACTTATTAAATAATTGCATATAACATTTAATTAACTTCTCATAAAAGACTGTGGCTAGCTGGTCATGGTGGCACACTCCTGAGATCCCAGCACTTGTGAAGCCGATGCAGGGGGATCACATTTGAGGGCAGCCTCCACTGCACAGTCAGACTGTGTCTCAGAAAAGGAAACGAAAGTCACAAACTTAAGCATGACACTTACTGACTCCTTGATCTTCAATGAGCTTTTGCAGTGTCCTCCCACAACAGCTGTGTAATAAGGTTGCATCGCATCCTCCATCTTTCAGATCAAATTCATATGCGAGCAGTTCATACTCTTCGCTAACAGCAAGCAGCTTGGGCTTGTCTGTGGATATGCTGCTGTCATGAGAATCCTCCCACACGAAGCTAAGAAAAAAAATCTAGACTTACTGTATTTCAACAGCCACTCCAATTTACCACAATAGCGGGGATCAAGGGGCAGAACAAGGAGAGCTTAGTTCACTCGACAGCACCGATTCTGCAATCTAACTTAGGAGGAAGAAAACTACTTCAGGACCCTCTTCCTTCTCCTCACTTCTCACCACTCTGCCCCTCTACACTAAGAGTGAGGGTGAAGTGAGCACAGGACAAGAAACTGTTTCCTTCTACTCCTTCAGTGTTTTAGAAGTCTCTTTTTTAATCCATTCTTTTACCTTAAGCATCAACTGGTATTTTTTAAGAGATTGTCATTATGAATGATAAATACCAACAACCAATTTTTTTTTTTTTTTGAGACAGGGTGTCTCAGTGTAGCCTGGGCTGTCTTAGTACTTGCTATGTAGACCAAGCTGGCCTTGAACTCACAGAAACCTGCCTGCCTCTGCCACCTGAGTGTTGGGATTAAAGGTGTGTGCCAACAGGACTAGCGGTAACTTTATAACTTATAAATATATTACTTATTACAATTAATGAAATAGGTTTATAAAGCTGGAGAGATAGCTCAGTGGTTAAGACCACCTGCTCACAACTATCAGTGACTCCAATTCCAGGGAATCTGATGCCCTCTATGGTCCTGCAGGCACCAGGCACATGGTACACATACATACATGCAGGCAAACACTTGACACATGCAATAAATAAATGTTTTAAATGGGCTTTAACTGAGTTGAACTATTTCAGATTTTATTTATTTATTTGTTTATTTATTTATTTCTTGGTTTTCTAAGACAGGGTTTCTCTGTGTCTTTGGAGGCTGTCCTGGAACTAGCTCTTGTAGAACAGGCTGGTCTCAAACTCACAGAGATCTGCCTGCCTCTGCCTCCCGAGTGCTGGGACTAACAGCGTGTGCCACCACTGCCTACCTATTTCAGAATTTAAAAAGTGATTCTTTACATCTACAGTCTTTGAATACTCCAGAATATTATGGTACTTAGCAACTCTGCCCAACAGAACTTTGTGGCAATGGAAATGTTATTTTTTATTCTAGTACTGCTCAAGGCAGCCAACAACCACCAGGCAGATATGGCTAACAAAGCACTTCAACCGTGGATACTCAAACCAATGAACTGGATTTTAAAGGTCATTTTAACAGCCATATGTGGCTAATGGCTATCATACACAGTAACCAGTATGGGCTAACAAGGATGGAGAGACACCAACTGTAGTTAATTACATTTAAAATAAATGTAAGGGGTGGGGAAGGTGGCTCAGGGGTTATGGAACTGACTCCATCAGCTTGAGAATGGCAGTCTGGATACTCAGAACCCATGTAGAAGTCAGGCAGGCATGGTAGCCCGGCCATCTGTGATACCAGCACTCAGAAGAAAGAAGCAAGAGATCCTGGGGACAAGCTAACTAGACCAGTCAGATACTGTGAGTTCCTGTTTTCAGACAGAAACCTTGCCTCCGGAAATGAATGGAGAGCCAGCAATGGCTCAGCAGGAAAAGGCGCCTGCATGTAAGCCTGGCAACCTGAGTTGGATCCCTGAAACCCATGTGAAGGTGGACACACAGAACCAACTCCACAGAGCTGTTTTCTGACCTCCACAATCTGTGCTGCGCCATGGGTTCGTGAGAATGTGCACACACACCCAAAACTAATAATAAAATTTAAAATGTATTGTGGAGAACAATCTACGAAGATATCCGATATCAATGTTAGGCCTCCACATGTACACATACACACACATGTAAAAATAAACAAAAAAGGGCCCAAGCCAGGCATAGCAATGTGTACACATTATCCTAGCTCCTCAGAAGGCTGAGGAAGGAGGGTCTCTTGAACCCAGGAACTGGACAGCCTAAGCGGCATAGCAAGACTATCACTAAACACATGGAGTCAAATGTGGTGGCTCAACAATAATCACATTCTTCAGTGACTAAGGAGGGAAGATTAAGGTTTGAGGCCAGTCTGGGCTACAGAGAAATACCGTATCTCAAAATCAGTCAGTAGGGCCTGACTCTGAGAACAATGCAGTTGAAGAGATGAGGCTACCACTCTGATAGCTTCAACTTCTTTTAAAACCTTTTTTTTTTTCCAGAATGGGGTGTCTATTAAGTCCTTATTAGAAAGGTGGTGTACACCTTTAATCCCAGCACTTGGGAGGCAGAGGCAGGTGGATCTTTGTGAGTTTGAGGCCAGCCTGGTTTATAGTGAGTTCCAGGACAGCCAGGGCTACAAAGTGAAACCCTGTCTTGAAACCCCCCCCAAATGACTGACAGTTCACATTTCTGATTTTTATATAATGATTTTTTTTCACAAACACCTAATTTTTGTTCACATTGAAAATTTGGGAAATAACCTAAATATTAACTATGGAAAAGGTTAAACAAAGTAAAATATTTAAAGGCACTGTGCTTTCCCAAAGGGAGAACATTGTGCCATTCCATTAAGATCATTATTGTCCATGTGGACAATTCTACCACATAGAAAGGAAATTTGATGAAAGGAACATATGATACACAATAACCCAAACAATATAAAACAGACCTATGCGAATGTGCTGATGCAGTACTCCCACACTACTGGAAAGACCTAAAGAAGAGGATCAAGAGTCAGAAGCTAGCCTGGGTTACACAGGAGAGCCAGTCTCAAAAAAAAAAAAAAAAAAGGAGGCAGCCCAGCCCAGTGGATAAGAGCAGCTCCTGCTTTTCTTGAGGATCCATGTTCAGATCCTAGCACCCACACTGGGCAGTTCATACCTGCCTGCAGCTCCAATTCCAGAGGCTGACACCCTCTTACAGCCTCCACAAGCACTCACACACATGTGGCACGAGCACACACACATACAAGCACATAAAAATGAATCTTCAAAAAACAAGTAAGATTAAAACCTATATATTTTGTGAAAAATAGGACACAAACCATAACTTCTAAAACATTGTCTTTGTTTTTACTCTACAGCATATTTTAACTAAAAAATTCAGTTCAATTAGAACTTTTAAAAAATGGGCTGGAGAGATAGCTCTGAGGAAAAGCATGAGGTTTGACCCCAGCATCTGCATCCAAAGCCAGCATGTAGCTCACACCTCTGATCCCAGCACTGAGAGAGGCCTGCTGGCCAGAGAGAGTATAGCCAATTCAGCCCATCCAGGAGCTCCAGGTTCTGAGAGGCTCCATCTTAAAAAAAAAATAAGGTGACAGAGGAGACACCTACATTGACCCCTAGCCTCCACATATGTACACACACACACACACACACACACACACACACACACACACACACACACACACACACACAGAGCAGACATGTGAACATTCATGGGGGGGGGGAGGAGATTGGGCGTGGTGATGCATGTTTATAATTCCAGCACTGGAGAAGCAGAGGTAGGACTAGTCCATAGCCATCCTTGGTTCAAGGCCAGTCTGAGCTCTATGAGACCTTATGAGCTAAGGCTTATTTATCTCAAGGGGAGGATTTAGCAAACTAGTCTTGTATATACCAAGCTGTTATAGAACTTGGAAGATTCCAAAGTGAGAAACTTCTTGGCTATACAGTCTCATACAGACTGGTCCTAAGATACGTCCCATTATTTAAAAGGTCAGCATATATTGAGGGCACTCCTAAACTTTATGATGTAAACTGTCCCCCTTGGATCAAGATTAATGAAAATGGATAGTAGTACATTATTGCAATTGTCTCTCTCAATCAATCGGAGCCTGTGTCTAAGAAACAGCAGACATGCCAGGCATGGTGATACAAGCCTGTAATGTCAGCATTAAAAAAGTTTAAACAGAAGGATTGTGAATTGCAAGCCAGCTATCTAGATTGTGATTCAAATATGGAAAAAGCAGAACTGGGACAGCTCAGTGACCCCAGAGCCCTTGCATTGAGTGGGCAAGTTTAAGGAGAAGCGGGGGAGAAGGGCTATGTTTGTAAGAAAACATTATTTGGGGAACAAAGATGGATATTTGAAATTATTTAGAAGTAAGCCTCATCTGACACCTTTAAACCAAGTCAGGTGTGGTAGCTTACGCAGAGGCAGGCAGATCTCTATAGGTTCGAGCCCAGCCTAGTCTATGTCTCAAGTTCTAGGACTGCCACAGCTCCATTGTGAAGAGGAGGGTGCGGGTAAGGAAGACTTCCTCCTTTCTGTAACAATCAGTTTGAAGTTAAAAGAATCAGCGCCTGGGCTGGGACCCGTTCGGGGTTCGCAGAAGCTATGGAGGAGTGGGCTGTCTTCTCTGCCCACCCAGGAAGTGAGGTAAGGAGATTCGACAAGGTGAACATTTCACACCTGGGGATGCACGGGGTTCCGAGAGGAATGGGGCTCAATTGTCAGGTGTTTCCCCGCTGTCACCCCTCGGCCACCAACGGCTCAAGTGTCAGACCCCTCCCACGCTCCGCCGCTGTCCAGCACTCCACAGCCGTCCCGCAGCACTTACTGCCCAAAGGGGCCTTGGAGGCAGCAGCTGCTTCCACCCCGACTGCCCGGCGCCAGGGAGAGCACTTGGAGACTGCCCGCAGCCGTCAGGCTCCCCAGGGCCTCCTGCTCTCGGTGCAGCTGTGCCCGCGATCCCAGCTGCGCCGTCTCCTTGGCAGGAATCTGCACCAGCAGCATAGGTAGAAC